GCTCAATTTCAAGGTACTCTTCTTTGTGAAACCAATCAAAAACATCTCAACTTCTGTAATACGTCTTCCCTTCTATAAAATGTGACCAGAAAAACTAGAATACAACCATAAATACCATACGAAACCACAGTGAAAAGTCGCTGTTTTAATCCAAAAACATGATCAAAGTTTTTTTTTTCTCATTATGCACTGTGTGCTGCAGGATTTTTTTCATACTGCGCACACTGACCACATAGACCCATTCTTTCATATGAAGGCCTACCAGCTTTCTCTCACTAAATTTGAAGGCGCAAGAATTTAGGCATTCTAGTACGTCAATAACCCTGGTGCGTAAGCCGTACTAGTATGTCGGAAACCCTGAAAGGGTTAATTAAAGCTCTCTAGAGCGATGAAATACATATACAGTACATGCATTAATTCCCTTGAAAGGCGAGTTTTATTTGTAGGAAATCAGGTTTGGGAAATATGGAATCCAGCCACGGAAGCCCTCCCCACCCCACCCACACATAATGTAAACAAACAGTCAAACGCGTCTGGTTTTCGTCACTTTACATTGTGTACAAGTTATCTCCACGTTGATACAGTAGAATAAATAAAGAGAGGCAGTGGAGATGTCCTGTCTAAGGGCAATGGGTGGTGTAAATATTATGCAGAAAATTTGGAGTGTGGAAATTAGGAGAAGGTGTGGAGTTAATAAAAGTATTAGTCAGAGGGCTGAAGAGGGGTTGTTGAGGTGATTTGGTCATTTAGAGAGAATGGATCAAAGTAGAATGACATGGAGAGCGTATAAATCTGTAGGGGAAGGAAGGCAGGGTAGAGGTCGTCCTTGAAAAGGTTGGAGGGAGGGCGGTAAAGGTTTCGTGGGCGAGGGGGTTGGACTTCCAGCAAGCGTGCGTGAGCGTGTTACATAGGAGTGAATGGAGACAAATGGTACTTGGGACTTGACGAGCTGTTGGAGTGTGAGCAGGGTAATATTTAGTGGAGGAATTCATAAGAACATAAGAAAGAAGGAACACTGCAACAGGCCTACTGACCCAATGCAGAGCCACCCAGTCTGGTCACCTCCACTCAAGGAGCACGGCACAAGACCCAGCAGCACCAGCTAGTCAGGTCCAACTCACACCCATCCACACCCACTCCTGTATTTATCTAACCTATTTTTAAAACTACACAACGTTTTAGCCTGAATAACTGCACTTGGGAGTTTGTTCCACTCATCCACAACTCTATTACCAAACCAGTGCTTTCCTATATCCTTCCTGAATCTGAATTTTTCCAATTTGAAACCATTGCTGCGAATCCTGTCTTGGCTGGAAATTTTCAGGGAAACGGGTTATTTTTATATACCCGGACTTGAGTCCTGGAAATGGGAAGTACAATGCCTGCACTTTAAAGGAGAGGTTTGGGATATTGGCAGTTTGGAGGGATATGTTGTGTATCTTTATTACATACGTATATGCTTCTAAACTGTTGTATTCTGAGCATCTCTGCAAAAACAAGTGATTATGTGTGTGAGGTGAAAGTGTTTTCTTTTTGGGGATTTTCTTTCTTTTTGGGTCACCCTGCCTCGGTGGGAGACGGCTGACTTGCTTAAAAAAAAAATAAATAAATAAAAAATACGGTCGGAGTTTTTTTCTCATGCAGTGCATGCTGCAGGATTTTTTTATATGGTGCACACCGACCACACAGACCCATTCTCTCACATGTCGGCCTACCAGTTTTCTCCTTGATTTGAAGCCACTAGAATTTATGAGTATACTGCATATATGTCAAAAACGGTGGCTCGTAAGACGTATATGTACGACCAAAACAGTCAAACGGTTAATGGATACAGTGAGCAAAATGTATTACATTTATAAGTCTCAACTTGCATGCTAGAGGGTAGTGAATATAAAAGTAAAACCACTCTAAGAAAAGTTTGAGGAAAGCAAGTTTGTGCAGAGAGAGGGTAACAGATAGTTAAAAATAATATGTATTTAATATGTATTTAATACATGCTAGCAAGAAAAAGATTAGAGACTTTCAGAAGTCTTAACCCCTTGACTGTTTCGGTCATATACATATGTCTTATGAGGTACCGTGTTTGACGTATATACGTATACTCATAAATTCTAGCGGATTCAAATCAAGCAGGACAAAGCTGGTTGGCCCACATGTGAGAGAATGGGTCTGTGTGGTCAGTCTGCAGCATATAAAAAAAAATCCTGGAGCATGCAGTGCATAATGAGAGAAAAAAAAAACTCCGACCGTTTATTTTAATTAAAATGCCGGCTTTGTGGTCTATTTTCGTATAGTATTTATGGTTGTACAGTGGACCCCCGCATACCGTACGCATCACATAACGTTCAATCCGAATACCGCTCGCTTTTATCGCAAAAATTTTGCCTCGCATACCGCTCAAAAACCCGCTCACCGCTCTTCGTCCGAGACGCGTCCAATGTGCGCCCTTAGCCAGCCTCACATGTGCCACCGGTGGCATTGTTTACCAGCCAGCCTCCGCGGTAACATCCAAGCATACAATCGGAACATTTCGTATTATTACAGTGTTTTTGGTGATTTTATCTGCAAAATAAGTGACCATGGGCCCCAAGAAAGCTTCTAGTGCCAACCCTACAGCAATAAGGGTGAGAATTACTATAGAGATGAAGAAAAAGATCATTGATAAGTATGAAAGTGGAGTGCGTGTCTCCGAGCTGGCCAGGTTGTATAATAAACCCCAATCAACCATCGCTACTATTGGTGGTACAGCTGCTGCTTGTGTACACCATCAGCTGCTGCTGTAGTACCGTCTGCTGCTGCTGTAGCATTCACTGCTGCTGCGTGTAGCACCCGTCAGCTGCTGCTGCTGCTGTGTACCGTCTGCTGCTGCTGTAGCATCGTCTGCTGCTGCTGTAGCATTCGCTGCTGCTGCTGTGTACACGTCAGCTGCTGCTGCTGTGTGCCCGTAGCATGCTGCTGCTGCTGTAGTACCGTCTGCTGCTGCTGTAGCATCGTCTGCTGCTGCTGTAGCATCGTCTGCTGCTGCTGTAGCATCGTCTGCTGCTGCTTGTAGCATCGTCTGCTGCTGCTGTAGATCGTCTGCTGCTGCTGTAGCATGTCTGCTGCTGCTGTAGCACTGCTGCTGCTGTGCTGCTGCTGCTGCTGTAGCACTGTTGTTGGTGTGGCTTATTGAGAATACCAAGAAACAATTAACCCCAGAGGATTTGCCACCCAGGATAACCCAAAAAAGTCAGTGTCATTGAAGACTGTCTAACTTTTTTTCATTGGGGTCCTTAATCTTGTCTCCCAGGATGCAACCCACACCAGTCGACTAACACCCAGGTGAACAGGGAAAAATGCCTGGAACTAGTGCTCATATTGGTGAATTTAAAGCCAGCAAAGGTTAGTTTGAGAGATTTAAGAATCGTAGTGGCATACACAGTGTGATAAGGCCTGTTCTGGAAGAAAATGCCAAACAGGACCTACAGTACTCAGGAGGAAAAGGCACTCCCAGGACACAGTGTCTCATCAGTCATTGCTGCATCTTCAATAAAGGTAAGTGTCATTTATTCTTCATTTAGTATAGTAGTACATGCACAATATATATTGTGCATGTACTACTCTACTATTGTGCATGTATCCTTCTCTTTGTGTGTAGGAAAATGTATATTTCATGTGGTAAAATTTTTTTTTCATACTTTTGGGTGTCTTGCACGGATTAATTTGATTTCCATTATTTCTTATGGGGAAAATTCATTCGCATACCGATCATTTCGCATAACAATGAGCCCTCTTGCACGGATTAAAGTCGCTATGCAGGGGTCCACTGTATTCTCGTTTTCTTGGTCTCATTTGATAGAATGGAAAACATATTATAGAAATAGAGGTGATTTTGATTGGTTTTACTGTAAAAAGAACCTGGAAATGGAGCTCAAAGTAGGGGAAATGTTTGATTTTTGCCGATGTTCAAAGGTAAACAAATGATGTCATTGTCCAATCAATGTCCAACTAGCCATTCTAATATGGTCAAGAATGGGCTGACGTTATTTCTACAATTATTATAGTATTGCAGTAGTCTGCATAACAGTAGATGATCTATTTTTTGTTTGAATAAAAATTCAAAATAGAAAGCAATAGTAATATCAGAGGGGCCTGTAGACATGACTGATTAACAAAGAAAATGTTATTTTAGAGCCAGGAATGTCTGTATTGTTCATTCTGGACCTTATTTTGAAATTGTCATATTTTTTAATTTTCGTGAAATTGGCCAAATTGCAAATTTCTGACCACATTATTGGGTAGTTGACATCGGTAAATGGGCAGTTTCTTGTACTCAACTGATAGAAAAAAAAATGGAGTTCTAAGGAAATAGCTATGAGTTTCGTCAACTGGAACAATGGAATTAGCTGAAAATAGGGCTCAAAGTGGGCGAAATCGCCGATTTGTAAATATCGCCAAGGTCGCTAACTTCGCGAGAGCGTAATTCCGTCAGTTTTCCATCAAATTTCATTTTTTTTGGTGTCATTAAAATTGGGAAAAGATTCTCTATCATTTCATAAGATTTTTTTTTTTTTTTTTAATTTTGCGACACCAGGAGACACCTCAGGATTTGGGGTTGTGACAGTCAAGGGGTTAAAAAAAAATGTAATGAAAAACTGAAAAGTAAATAAGACACCTTTTGATAATTTGCTCATTATTCATATTTTCTCATAAGACTAAACATCAAAATATGTGAGTAAAGCTTTAATTGGAGCAGTTATTTACCTGACATACATCAAATCATTTCATACCTGAAATTTTTAATTCTATTTCACAAAGTGCTAAACCCTTGTGGGTTATGTAGAGCAAAGAGTGGTCGAGGTTCAAACCTCCATGTTCTAATGTCTCCCTCTGATCACTCTCAATCTCTTGGTTGTGACTGATCAGAGGGATACATATATCAAGAAAGATATATATCAACCAGTGGTAATTTCTTATATGCTCCATTATGAAATAAAAAACAAAACTTTGTCTTTTCTTACCTGAAACATGGTTCCTTTGAGCAATTTATGACATATACTACATCTAGTGTTTGGTTTTGTAAAGGTGGTGATGGAAAATTCATGACTCAGTGCACTGTTCTCAGGAGGGTTCAGATACTCTCTGTAGCGGTAAACAAAAGACACTATTAATGATATAAATAACCAATGTCGCTTTAGTACCTAGAATGTCTACTGTCCATGAAATTTCATATTTTTAGTGTCATTACCTTCAGAAAAAGATTCTCTGTTAAAATGCCAACACTATCAGCAATTTTAATTTCAGGGCTTCCGACTGTGATGTGGGTTAAGTCACACCTGCATGTATTCTAACAATCCATGATTCAATATCCCCTACTTGGAGACTATAGGCTTTAAAAAACTTGGTCTCCAAGTAAAACATCTCAATAAAGGTTTCCATTCAGCCACAGTGTGTTTTGATCAGCTTGTTGCTTCTATGTCATCCCCACAAATTTAGGAATGAGTTACTAAGGTCTACATGATATCTTAAGGATCACAAAACAGGACAGTGTAACATTTTTAACATTTATTTGGCAGGATGGTAGTATACTATTTATGGGTACTGTTCTCAACCATTATATTTTTTCCTTCAAAAATACTGATAGAATCTGAATGACACAGGTTTAGATAACACTAATTTTCAGTGGTCTAGTTGCAGTAACTACCCTAGCTTAGATACGAATGCCAGAATTCCATTATAGAGAAATGTAAAGAAAAATGAACATGTAATTAGTATTATACATTAAACTAACAATTAAATTTACTATATTTATGAATAGCTTAAATAAATCATAGAAAGATACATCATTGTATGCCTATGCCTGTAATAGTTGTAGAAACCAAAAGTATTGTAAAAAAAATTTCATCTACTTGTATTAGAGGGAAGTGACAGTGGTTTGCAAAAAGCAGCAATAAATTAATAAATCTAAACTATTATATAAAGTGAAGAAAAGGTTATGTGCTATATCAAATGAACAGTATGAAAGAGCATGCATATTACACAGAATATTTCACGAAGCTGAAAGTTTTACTTGAATGATAGAGAAAACATAATAATCTAGATCATGTAAACAGCAGAGAATAGTCATAAAATTCAAAGCCTATTAATTTTTAGGGTTTAAGTGAAACCCATAAAACTAAGAACTCATTAGAAATATGTAAACCGAGTACAGTAGGGCCCCACTTATGCGGCAGGTTAGGTTCTAGGCTACAGCTGTAAAGCGGAAATCACCATAAAGTGGAACACCTTTTTTTTCCACTTATAAATGCATATAAATACTAGATAACAAGTTTACACTAACATATATTCAGTTAGCAATAGAACTATTCATTAAAAACAATAAAAAAGTAAAATACATATATAGTACACTCATTACTTACCTTAAAATATTTGTCTTAATCTAGGGTGAGACGAGTAGTATTTATTGTAAGAAATCAAGTGTGGTATGTATGGTAGCCAGCCGGGCTACTATACCAGGCCACTCCACCCGCACATAATATTCTATGACATTTAAGCGTCTCAGAGCGATAAAATGCATATATAGTTCACTCATTACTTACCTTATAGTATTTGCAGTTTTAATGTAGGGTCAGAGGTGAGTAAACGAGATAAAACAAATAAATGAGAGAGAGAGAGAGAGGAGAGAGAGGAGAGAGAGAGAGGAGAGAGAGAGAGAGAGAGAGAGAGAGAGAGAGAGAGAGAGAGAGAGAGAGAGAGAGGAGAGAGAGAGAGAGAGAGAGAGAGAGAGAGAGAGAGAGAGAGACAGAGAGAGAGAGACAGAGGAGAGAGAGAGAGAGAGAGACAGAGAGAGACAGAGAGAGACAGAGAAGAGAGAGAGAGAGAGAGAGAGACAGAGAGAGAGAGACAGAGAGAGAGGAGAGAGAGAGAGAGAGAGACAGAGAGAGAGAGACAGAGAGAGAGAAAAGAGAGAGACAGAGAAGAGAGACAGAGAGAGACAGAGAGACAGAGAGACAGAGAGAGAGACAGAGAGAGACAGAGAGAGAGACAAGAGAGACAGAGAGAGAGAAGAGAGAGAGAGAGAGAGAGAGAAGAGAGAGAGAGAGAGAGAGAGAGAGAGACAGAGAGAGAGAGACAGAGAGAGAGAGAGACAGAGAGACGAGAGAGAGAGAGAGAGAGAGAGAGAGAGAGAGAACAGGCATGGAGTTGTGTAAACAAACCAGCCATATGAGAGTTTTGTAGACAAACCAGGCGAACACGTCTGGTTCATGTACTAGTTACATTGTGTACAAGTTGTCTCTACGTTGATATAGTAGAATAAATAAAGAGGAATACTCCCATTCTCATGTAACACCATTTTTTAGAAGAAATCACGCTCTGAGTGAAGGCATACCTTCAGTAGCACATTTTCTCTTATGTTGGACTAGAGAAAACGTTATTCTTGCCGTTACTCGTACAAGTCGTCTGGCTACCACATCTCATATTTATGGTAATTTATTCTACTGTGGGGTGTATTTATCATCTCTTTATGCTGCATATCATGTTTATTATATAACTTTGAAAAAATATCATAGTTGGATTAATGAAAATGTGTATACAGTAGGGCCCTACTTATATGGCGGGTTAGGTTCCAGGCTGTTGCTGGAAAGCAGAATGCAATTTTTTCCATTTATAAATGCATATGAATGCCAGACAACAAGTTTACACTAAATTATATTAAGTTAGTAATAGAACTAGGCATTAAAAACACACAAAGTAAAATACATTCACAGTATATTCATTACTTATCTTAAAGTATTTGTAATCTTAATGTAGGGAGAGAGGTGAGTAGTACTTATTTGTAGTAAGTCAGGTGTAGGTAGCCCTGGCTCCCCGCTTCATACTTAATATACGATATTTAAAACATCCCAGAGAGTTAAAATACACATGCAATACACTCACTATTTACTTTAAAATATGTGTAGTCTTAATATAGGAAGAGAGGCGAGTAGTATTTATTAGCAGGAAGTCAGTGTAGGAAGCCGGTAGGTGTAGCCTGCCTGGGCTACACCTACCGGCTACCTACATTGTGGCCCAGAGCCATATTATTAGCATCGACATACCTTGTTCGCTGAATTCAATCGTTTCTAACTACCTTTAGATGCCATCATAAACGAAGGGAGAAGTAATGAATAATTCATGCCGAAAATTGTAAACAAAAGCGGAGTGGGGGAGTGGCTGGGCCAAAAGCAGATTCATACACGCTTTCTCTGGTGGCTGAGCAGAGAAAACGTAATGCTGTCCCTCTGCCCGGCTACCACACAGGTCCACAAGTATTATTATCAGAGTACATATAAAATATGCAATAAATGCCAGACAACAAGTTTACACTAACTTATACATGCATTAAGTTTGCAATAGAAATAGGCATTAAAAACACAATAAAAGGTAAGATACACACAGAGTACACTTATTACTCACCTTAAAATATTAATATTAATGTGTGAGAGGTGAGTGGCAGGGTGTTTATTGAATAAAATCAGAATGGCACACCATCATCCTCTAACTTGGCACTTAAAGCAAGAGACTTACGACTCCTCTTGTTATCACAGCTAAGCTTAGACGCCATCGTCAACGAGAGCCAACTAGTTAACGAAAGAGTAAACGAGAGAGAGAACGAGATACAGAGTTCAGACAATGTAAGAATACAAACTGAACAGGTAGTGGGCGATCACTTGGTCAGGCGAAATAAATGTGTGTTAATATGCTTGTACTTTTAGTTCATTCACATACGTTTGTAAGAGTTTGTAAAACATTTACCTCAATACAGGTACCATCCGACTTATGACCGAGTTCGGTTCCGAGAAACCGGTTGTAAGTCGAAATGGACGCAAGTCGAACCTTACTACTGAATATCAATATCACATTCTTGTAATGACTTTATTTTATTGTTTTATTTTGGTATTTCATTTTTTACTTCACTTTTTTATGCCATTAGTACTGTATTTTATACTGTAAGGTTTAGGATAAATGCTGTGTACAACACAAACAGTTGTTTATTTCCCAGAAATTTGGCAAAGAAAACAAGGTCGTAAGTCGAATGGTCGTATGTCGAGCAGGTCGTAAGTCGGATGGTAGGTGTATTTTTTTATTATAATAATTACCTCACAATACAAATACTCTTACATTGTGTATAAGTTGTACAAGTTAGTACACAATAAACAAACAGCAACACACCATTTTTAGAGTGAATGAAGATATTATTATTATTATCATAATAAAAAGAACTAAACCCACAAGGGTCATGAATTGCTATATATAGAGTGAAGGCATACGAAAAGAATATTTTTCTAGTTATCCCCCAGTTTGACTAGAGAAAATGTAAGTCTTCCGACACTAATTACACAGCCGCTTTGTAAACAAATCTCATATTTACGTCAATTTTTATTCTGCGAGTGTATGTATCATGTTTATATGCTATGTAATGGGTTTCATATATAATTTTGAGGAAAATATCATAGATGGACTAATAACAATGCCTATATTAATGTAAAATAAGATATTTAGTATGCCCAAGAGTGATTATTAAGTAGTATTGGCATCACGAGTAGAGAGACACATAGCGATTTTAATGTGTACGTGCACACCAGTAGTGTTTAAGTATATTTAGGTACAGGTACACATAAGTATAATTATCAGAGTACATATAAAATATGCAGTAACTTTAAAACACTTGAAATTTTGGAAAGTTTCCTGACATAATAGATGTGGTCACGGAGAATGTAAACAAACCGGGTGGGGCGCACCGTATTCGAAAGACTGTTTGCCGTATAGCAAATTTTGGTCTTAATTTAACATCGCCGTATTAGTGGAATGCCGTAAGGCGAAACGCCGTAAAGCGGGGCTCTACTGTATTAATGTAATATATGGTATTTAATGAGACTTGGTGATTATTATCGAGTACAGTGGAACCTTGACTTACGAGTGTCCTAACGTACGAGTTTTTTGAGATATGAGCTGTCGCTGGGTCAATTTTTTGCTCTGAGTTACAAGCCAACATTTGAGTTAGGAGCCAGCTCCCACTGCTCCCCCCCTCAACCCAAAACCTGGACACCTCGATTGTTTATCTATGATTTCATGCTTTAATTCCATGGAAATATCCTCTT